AAAAACTTGAATAACTCAGTCAAAACCTTACCAACTTACTGACTTATGAGGTATCATTAGTAAGGTATTTTCTCACGCTTTTAATTTCTTTGCGAATAAGCTCATTCAAAAATATGAAAGAGGAAGGTCAAATAAACGAGTGTCATTCCGTGTTGATTTAAGAAGTAATGGTATTTGATACGGAAAAAATTGGGTAGTGAATGAGTTTATTTGCAAAAAAAATAAAAAGGGTGAGAAAATACCTCTCCCCTTATACATCACAAGTCTACATCGGTAAAGAGTTTTGCAGCAGTTATTCAAGTTTTTCTTACACAAATCTCTGAAAAAGGTTAAAAAAAATAGCATAAAAAATCTTATTAAATATGATTCCGATGATAACTTTTTTAAATATTTTTATGTAGATTTTTTAAGCTTAAACTCTTTTGTCATTTGAGAGGATTTTTTCCGAAAAATCCTTTAAGAAACTATTTTTATTCATAAAAAACATCATTTTTAGAGGTATTTTTAAACCGGTCCAGCTCACGTAAATCTGAATATTTTTCCGAAATATTTTGGTAAAAGTCTTAAAATATACTAGGTTTAGTAATCCCGCTGAGAAAACCGAAACTTTTTTACCTTTTACATTTTTACGCGCCCAATAAATATAGGTTTGCAACTCGCAAAAACATCGATGCATCGATGTTTCTCCAGCACTAGTGTGAATACCCAAATATTTTTCGTTATCCCAATCACGAAAATTAATTCGTTGAAATTTTTCAATGGAACATCGCTCTATTGTACCAACCTTTTGACAAAAAAAAATGTTCTCAATTTTTTTATATTTTGTACCAATAGCGCAATATAAAAATGAACAAATATGTAAAAATGTACCAATCAAGTGTCACTGTCTTAGAAATTTATACAATTAATAAAAAAATTAACAAATTTTCTTAAACATTTGGAATTTTTAATTAANAAAAAAAAAAAAAAATGTTCTAAATTTTTTATATTTTGTACCAATAGCGCAATATAAAAATGAACAAATATGTAAAAATGTACCAATCAAGTGTCACTGTCTTAGAAATTTATACAATTAATAAAAAAATTAACAAATTTTCTTAAACATTTGGAATTTTTAATTAAATTCTGAGTGTGTAGTTTTGTAGCCCATTGAATTCTAGTAGAATAAAGTACAAGTTTCAAATGGCTAAAAATTATGATTGATTTTTTAGAATTTTTAAATAGCTCTATATTTTTACGAAAGTTTGTTGTTTTTTTAATACTGCACAAATTTGGAAACTTGGATTTACACGGGTTTTGTTAAAGAATTAACTATATTTTTATAAAAAAAAAATAACCAAAATTAAATAGCAACGAAAATACTACTTTAAAACTTGGAAAAAAGTGGTTCGGCTATAATTTTTTCACCACTGTATGTATTTTTTAATATCTTTAATTGGACATGCACATTGTAAATAAAGGAAGTACATAAGAAAACTAAAAAATATTTCAAAGCTCATTTTGCCTTTTTTTCAAGTTTTTAGTGCTTTAAAATCTTCGGTAACGTGCAGATGAGACCTGTAAGTGATACATACCAATAGATTTATTTTTTCACCGAGACTCAAATTTGAAAATAAATTTTTATTTGCAATTTTTATGCAAATTTAAAAAAATTATTATATAAATATTATATTTATTATAAATCCAAAATAACAATTATTTTTGATTTTTATATTATCTACAACATATATATAAGAGTTATTGAAGACTTTTACTACGAGTGGTCGATCACTGTTATCTAAGACATATAATTTAAAAATCAAAAATAACTGTTATTTTGGATTTATAAAGTAAATGATAGAAATAACGGTTACTTAAGGAGTAATTAAATAAAAGTAAAAAAATAATTGTTAAAGAGAGATTTTTTTAATAACAATTGTAACTGTTACGGTCCCTGGTTAAAAATGCAGTTCTGAATTATGAATCGCCTAATCTATTGATTGTGCAGAACCTAGTAATTTTTCAATCTAGCGAAATTGTAGTGGCATGCCACAATTGTATGCACATACAGATATGCGTGTGTATGTACATACATATGAACTTACCTAGAAGTTTGCTAATAAACCTCAACACATAGTCGTATACATTTCTAGCAAGAATAATTTTCTCTTATCCTGTAGAGTCCTTTATTATTATTGTAGTGTTAGGGGCGTTGCTTTCATTTCAAAGGTAAATATTGTTTATAGTTAGTATAATTGCGGTTGATTTGAAACACATTTATTTTCCAGTAATGACTTTGCATTATGCTTGAGGTAAGTAGGGTGATGACCAGTGCACTATGGTCTGGCAGCTACTATTTGCTGGCCAAAAGTTATATTTTAAAGTATCAAAAAACCGACTTTTTATAAATTCTCCAGAGTAAAAAGGTGCATACTTATTATTTTCTGAAATAGTTTTCCCGTTGAGATATTAGCGGTTAAAGTTGATATTTCTACAAAAACTTTATTTTGATTTTCTTTCGTAGTCAGCATTTTTGTAGTTCGAATTGGAATAAGTCTTTGAGTGATAAAGGTACTTTAAAGAAGAGAATGAAAATTAATAATGCAAGTAATATTTGTGTAATTAAGAAAAAAGAAAACTAGCATATAACATGCTAAATAAAATAGAATAAATTTTTAAAATAGACTCAAATTTGGGTAAATAATATAATTTCACTTTAAATAGAGCTATAAAAAGATGGTTTCATTTGGTGATCTTCAAGCGTTTGTGGGCAATAAAAATGATAAATTTAGAGCTTTTAGGCTGAGAGTAAAGTTGCAATTTCTTACACTTTTTGAGTAATGGGCTTTTTTCTCAGAAAACTTCTTCTATATTTGAAAAGAAGCAGTTAGCTAAAATGCAAAAAAAAAACGCAGTTTAAAACTTTTTGCTGCAAAATATTATTAAAGGGGTGCTCTCCGAAGAATAGAGCAAGAATGATATGCAAGTACATAGGTGAAAAACGCATTTTTGCATTTTTTGTTCAAACTTGAACGTTACGTTATTTTTTTTTTTAACTTTATACCTAGCCCACTCATAGGTGATATCAAATGAATTTATATTAATTGTGTTGGTGTCTTTTAAAGTAAACACTGAACAAATAATACAAATACTCCAAAGGAAGCAATTTTTATATGAAGCGCCTATGATTAGGGAAAAATATATAGCAAAAATGTGGGCTACTATTTTGAACTTAAATTTTTTTGCTCTGAATCCGATAACCCTACAAAAGGAACGTAATAAAGACCAAGTTTCAAATCAGTTTGGTTACTTCTGGACTTTTGGCCAGCAAATAGTAGTCGCCAGACCATAGTGCAGTAGCGGATTTACGGCTGAGTTAAAACTATGTGGAGGACAGTGCACACACATGGCAGGAAGAATATTCAATTTTATGTACGTTTGGTCTCCGTATAATTCAACACAAAGAGCTGGAGCTCCATCATAAATATTCTTGAACTTATTGAAAGTATTGAAGATACTTTTTGATAGTTCTTGATAGCTATCTTCATATGAAACAGGTAATAAAATTAAAAATCCAAACCCCCCTCCCTCTGTCTGGTCAACGCATCTAATTGAAACCCGTTCATCTACGATGAGTCCTAAATCAATTATATCAGGCGGAAATAGACCATCCAGATATAAAATATTCCGCCTATCTTCGAAGATTAAAAATCTATTCTCTATTCACTGAAATCTTGATTTCTTTGTCATGAATACTGAGCGGTTCAAAAACGGCATTTGATCCTAGTTTAAGCGTTCAATGGAGCACAGCGTCTTCTTTTTTTTTAAGTGGCGCTAGGACCGCTTAAGCGTTCCGCCTGATCACTGGCTGGTGCCAATTAGGAACAGCGAGTAAAGCCAATTCTCTTTCCACTTAGTCTTTTTACCGCCTAAAGGGTATTTAGGTAGATTTTAAATTATTTTCCTGTTTTAAAAGATTTTACTGAGTGATTAAATTCAGCAGCGCTTATTACCTTCCCTGGAATCAGATTAAATAAATCACGCGACAGGGAGTTGGTCTGTCTTGCAACTCGTTTTGTATCAAACGACTGGAGGTGATTCTTTCCAACTCTGATGGAGCTGATGATATTGCTCAACGTTTCGCGGGGATAGTAAATTCAGACATCGCAGTGTATAGGTTTTAAAGCGGAAAGAGGCCTGGGTGGTGTCGACCAAGCGGGCTTTATCCTTCCACCCAAGACGCTCAGCTTAGAAGGCTGATCGCACGGTAATATGCGTACGTCGCTGGGTCGGCCTTCTTCTCCTCATTAGCCCTATCTCTGACATTCTTTAACCAAATACAGAAACGTTTAGAATTAAGAATAAGACTACTATGGTTCTGAGAGGGCACTTAGCCTACGAAGCGAAGTTTTAATTCAAATGAAATTTAGCAAACGAAGTTTAGTTAGTTTGAACAAGACCAGCTCTATATCTAGCAAGTCTAAATAAAACAAATCAGCTGAAAAGAAATGAATTAGTCACCGTCAGAAAATAAAGCATAAAATTACCTCCTTAAAAATAATTTTTTTCTTATGTTCATGATATGTTTGTATGCACTCATTCCATGCTAACTACCAATTCTGCTATCAGCTAAATCCACCCATAGTGGTAACCTCCCATTCTCATTATGAATTCGGCACTGAAACTGCAGGTGTGCGCCAAGACTAATTGAGACGTGTGGCATACGGCATGCGGCAAAATATTTATGCTAATTTATGGTCGTTACCACAGGAAATTACGCAAGCCAAATGCCAACGAAATGATTCCATTAGAATGTGGCGCATATAAAAGCCAAGCGCCTAACTAACTAAACAACAGGTTCATCCTGTTTGCGAGTATTTCTGTGTACATCTGCCTAGTAGCCTAGCCTACTCATACATATCGTAGCAAAAATATTATTTTGTCCGATTGGCCATTCACCAGCTATTTACCGCCGCGAAGTGTTTTATTAACTGCTGATAAGAGCCGCTAGCGTAGTCACGATGATCCCGATCTTGAGGGAATCAACCATCAGCAACACCATTTCCGAGCATAATTTTAATCTAAACAACGGCAACATTTTTTTGCAAAACACCATAGGCATGGCAAAAACAATTTTAGAGCCTTATCGCGTGGCGCGGGAAGTGTTAAGGCGCGGTGATGATGGTCATCCATCGCATACGTGTTTGTATTATTTTCGTGCTTATATGCGGTAAGGCTGAAGTGATGCACCTGGCAAATGAATAAAAACTAATAATGGAATATCTGTATAATTGTTGTATGTATGCCTTCTTTCTGAATTCGTCTCAAGGTTACTTGGACTTTGGCCATTGCAACGCAGAGTGGAGCAGCCTCTATACTACGGTTATAATGGGCTGCTAATGACGCTTTTCGGTTTCTTTGTGGCAACCATTATTTGTGATCTCTATGAGGCGAGCGGTGATTTTGTGTTGCTGGGTGAAGATTTGGTAGTCGTTTTGGGTGTAAGTATTGTAGAGGCATGCATACACATGTACATGCATACATATATTGAAATGACTGATATGAAAATCGTGGCGTAGATGAGACGATGTACATACATTGCTGCTCTTAGAGTTACCATATTTACCTTTGGTTTTAAAACAATTAAGTCTAAAAATTAAAAGAAGTTCAAATTAAAAAATCTTTCTCATTAAAAAAAAAAAAAATATTCTAAAAATTTAAAAAAAAATATTAAAATAAAAAGTAAAAATTTGTTTCTAAAAATTAAATACTATTAAATAAAAAATATATTATTCTTTTTAAAACGCAAAAAATTAAAAGCTAAAGAATATTTAAATTAAACTTTTTTTTAACAATATAAAATCTAAAAATTAAAAAGAAAAACTAAATTGAACAAAAGAATTAAATAAGTTATTAAAAATTAAGGGGAATAGAAGAAAATATAGTTTTTATAAAAAAAAATACAATTATATGCATAAAAAAAAAATTAAATTTTACCTATCTTAGCCAGAATTGCCCTGTAGGTCTTTCCAAAGTCGGCCAAATACACAGAATGTGCTTCGATGTCGCTTCTACTTCAAGACAATGATGGCATACCGTCTCCGTGGTCAGGCCAATCCAAGAGCGGGGATTTTTATAACGCAAGAGCGCGGATTATTTTAACGGATTAGGCAACCCTTAAGCAACCTCATGTTGGTTCTATTCAAAAGATGATTAAGACTCCTACAGCTCCGCCTACTTAGTGTGTTCTGAGTTTACTCAATCGGTAATTTTAAGTCTCGAAGAAGACCAACTGAGTTCACCCTTATCCCTCGTTTATTTTTATCTCTTGTTTCTTGATGACCTCGTGGCTATATAAAACTCAAACCCTAATCAAGATTTAATCTGACACATGCCGAGCTTTCTAGCACATTGGTCTGGTAGACTGTGTCCTATTTGCCAATTGCAATATAAAACCTAACGCCGGATACATAGAAACCCACACCTGTTCGTTCAAAAAAAAGACACTGAAAATGACTCAAAAATAACTAAAGAATAAGTAAAATCAAATAATACAATAAAAATTAGAAAAAAATATTTCTCAGTCCAATAGAATTTCTTTTGATAACTTTTGATTTTGAAATTTTAGCATAAGTTATTATAAACAATTTATGAGATTGAAAACGAAAAACGTGGAGAGCATGCAATACAAAGTATTAGATTTAATTAGCAATAGTCAAACTACATAACGTAGTATTTGTCAACGTTAACTTAGACCTAAAATTTCTAAAGAGCCAATTTAAAAATCTTAATATATAATACGACAAATGAAAACCAATGAAATTCTCTACCGTATAAACCGTATATACATCGCTTTCCGATAGGGCTTTTAGTTTCTGACAAATTAATTAATCATTTCACTTTTTTTTTTATTTTTTAATGAAAAAATTAAAAAAAATCAAACTTTAACAGAACAAAAATTAAAAATATAACAGGTTCGTGCCAAATTTTTGCGTTTGTACTAAAGCCTGTTCTGTTACAAAAAAAAATCAAGTTTCTGATGAAGAAAAGCGATAGATAAATACGAAATAATGAGTGGTCAAATGAAAATCCGAAAAGATTTTTTTTTTATGAAATACGAGTAGTAAAGCGTGTAACTCGGGTGTAACCTTCTTTCCTGCTCATTTTTCATACACAAAACCTTGCGTATTTTTATGAATTTTTAGTAATTTTTATCGCTTTCGAGTCAGCAAGAATTGACCTACATTATGTATCTATCTTTCTGAGCACGTCCACTGCCATATCAGAGAATTTTCATCGAATTTCGCATACTGCGCTATGTGGTATATTTTCTTTTGCAAAATCTTTTATGTAAACACATTCATAGTTCAAATTTTATCTTTTCAGCTTTATTTGATTCTCTTCAAAATGTTTCTCTACCGCTCTAGCATAGCCGAAATCGACAGCATAGTTAATGAATTTGATACACTTCATGCTAAGTATGCGCATGCGCTATTACCAAAGAGCCAGAGTAATCGCCGTATACGGCAATGGCAGCGCAATTTCTTTATCGGTGAAATCGTTTTGACCACCGGTTTTTTTATTTTAAGCTTCTTACTCTTTGCTGCTATGAGCCTACAACCGTTATTCTCCCACCAAACGTTACCTTTCAGATCGAAATATCCTTTCGGGCTAGACAATCGCGACGAGCATCCCATCGCCTTTGCTTGCATCTATGCATTTCAATGCTTCTGTGTGCTCTACATGCTGGTGTCCATAGTTGTGATGGATTCATTGGGTGGAAATTGTTTCAATCAGACGACGCTGAATTTACGTATTTTATGCGAGAACATACGGAACATACGTGGCGGCGCTACGGAAGAAGTTATTTGGCATGAGTTGAGAGTAACTGTGGAGTTTCATCAGCAAATTATTGGGTGAGTCAGGAAAATTGACCTAAAAACGCAAAGCTTTAAAAATTATGTTATATACGGTTTTGAAAAAATTGAGATGGACTTATCGGGGTCTAATGAAATTAACTGAAGATTCTAGAGACGTATCCAGCGTCATCTTCGGCCTTAGGTTTGTATAATACAGGAAGAAGAAAGGATGAGAGGTTAGTCCAGCATTGATCGAGGTCAAGGGGAAATACATCCTGGCAACAAGAAGATGTGCAGTACATCCACGGGTTGAACCAAACGTTTGTTCATCTTTGGTACAATTATTTCTTTTCAGGCTTATTGATCACCTCAATGATGTCTTCTATTGGAATTATGTCTCACAAATGGGCGCAAGCACTTTTATGATTTGCCTGACAGCATTTGAGGCACTCCTAGCAAAGGATCAGCCCATGGTGGCAATGAAATTCCAGATGTATATGTTCTCAGCATTCATGCAGCTATTCTATTGGTGCTCGATGGGTAACAGGACCTACTATGAAGTAAGTAGGTGACAGGGATTTCAAGGACAACATTTCCATTACAATTTTTTTTTAATTTCAGTCAATGGAAGTAGCAACCGCCGCTTTTCAGGTACACACTTGGTACAATCATTCACCGCGCTTGCAACGCAATCTGATGTTTATGATTAAACGCGCTCAAAGGCCTTTAGAGTTTCGCGCAAAACCTTTTTTCGGATTTACATTTGCTTCGTTTACGAGCGTAAGGGGACAAGCTACTTATGCATATTTTTATATCGCTGACTTTTGTGACTACTTACAGATTCTGAGCACCTCATATTCATATTTTGCCTTGCTGCGCACAATGAGTGATTAATTTTATACAAAATACGAAAACGATGGAATTATAGTATTCAGAGCCACGGAATCAACAAAAAATCGTTTATATTGAGATCTTTAATAAAAAAAATTATAATAATAAATATAAGAAAAATCCGATCTGAATAACTCAGTGAGAGGGGAGCCCAGTATATTTGCATTTATGTATTTATTTAAAAAAATATTTTTAATCGAACAAAAAGGTGGGTAGGCATTGTGGCAATTGGTAAAGTTCTTTTACCACCTCTGCATAGTTGCAAGCAACGGAGAGTCCGCGAAAAACTCTAGAAGCATTGTCCGGAGGATGCATCAGACTAGGCCGAGCATACTTTGAAGTAGGGTTGCCAATATTTTCTAAGAAATTTAAAGTACTTTTTCAATAAAAAATCTGAAAAAATATAGTACACTTCAAATAAATATAGTATTATATTTAAAAGAAAATCTAAAACGCTTTTTAAGTGACATATTTTTTCTTTCTCATGAATTTCCTCTTTATATTTCTTTGAAAGTATCATATGCCATAACGCAATCAATATTTAAATTGATATAAATCAAAAGTTCATTTTTATTAGTGAGGTACCAGCTTTGTTTCTCTCATCTCGCCATTTGACATGGCGGTTGAGAAGTGCAGGTGTAAAAATTTCATAAATTTAATGAAGAAAATTTTAACACATGCACCAATACATTGCATGCATTAAGGCGCCTGGTGTTAGCAGTCGCGCCTAAACTCGATCAATAAAATTCCCATTGTTTACCTTTATGGCTTTAATGAAGAGAAATGGCAGATTCGTCGAAAACTGCGATTATAAAGTAATCTTCTTCTTCCAAAGTGGTACATAGGGCATCTACTACGCCAGCTCGCCTTCTGTTTCGGTTTCGGGCAATGGCTTTGAGCTCCTTCCAGTTTATCCCGAGTTGCTTCATCTCTCGATCGACTGTTCTTTTCCACATTTCGCGTGGCCTGCCGAGAGGCTTGCCTCTGCCGATTAAGGGATTCGATTCCAAGGCCTTCTTAGCAATACTGCCGCCTTCTTTACGCAGATTGTCGCCTATCCACTAGCATTTCTTCCTTCAAAACCAGATGTCAAGGGGCTCAATGTTAGCCTTTCCTGCCGACCTTTCTCCTAAAAATGGAATCAATTTGTTTTATTTATGAAGCGCTGAAGATCGAAAATTTTTAACGAGCTTTTGAGTCTGAAAGATTTTTGAAACATATTTTATGAAGAAAACGTTACGTGTTTTCTGAGTTCCGTCAATCCTGGACAGTGGCAGAGAAATTGTTCGACGCCTTTCGATTTCCTCTTCGTCCCGATAACTAAAACAGGAGTTGATGTTGGAAAGTCTTCTAGCTTGTATGCCCATAAGGATATGACCATTGTCCATTCTGAACAGAAAGCCTTCCACAAGAGTGAGGACGCTAGATCTACTTTTTCTGAGTCTAGGCCAGATTTCACTTGCCGATATCTAATATTTTCCACGGAATATATCTTGTGTCCCTTCACAGAGAGCGAAATCATTTTCTAAAGTTTCTGTTTAGATGAAGAGTAGTGCTCCGGAATGAGCATACATGCCACCTCTTTTAGAATATAATTGGGAGAACCATCGCTGTTATATCCAGTAGTAATATAAGGAAGTGATGGCCTTCGTGGATTTTTGGTCTGCAATATGATACAAGGTGAGTTTTCCGTCCAAGATGATACCCAGTTATCTAACTTCGTACACCATTTAGTGAAGGAAGTTGGTATTGGGAAATTTTGTACTAATTTGTGAACAGATTCGCGACTGTGATGGAGCATGATTGGATTGGACCAGCTCCCCTTCCATAAGGTTTCTGCAAGACAAAGAGCATTCTAGTTAGGCTGATTCAAAAATTCTTGAAGGAGTATACCTACTACTGTTATACCAAGATCTTCAATCAAGGAAAATAAATTTGAATAACATTATTTACATTTATTGCAACACGCACACATTTTGAGGTATTTTACCGTTCAAGCTTGAACTTTACACATTCAAATTGTTTGGAATTTGCGTTCATTGCCAAATGCATCTATTTTAATTCCAAAATAAATTGGTGCTTCTCAAATAAACTAATCCCTCACAAAATAACTTTGCATATCTGGCACCGTTGATCGAAAATTGCGTTATTAGATCATACTACCAACATTGTTGCCCACGGTGTAATGAGTTTATGCAAAACATCAATTTTCTGCTTACATGGCGATCATTCCGATCATTTGCCTCCATACGACTCCAAAAAGATTTGTACTAATTTGGCATACAACGGACGAGAGCCGAAAGCAATAAGGCGGAGGTCAAATATTACGCATTGATAAGCATCGGATTGGCAGTTAACCGCTACTGCAACCAAGAGCATATCAAATAAGGCGCGACGTCCATCGGTGATCGGCGATCGGCCATAGATCGACAATTTCCCGGGGGCAGTCTACACTATGCCACAATAGTACGTCATATGCGTTGACGTTGCTAAAATATGCATACATTCCATGGTGCTGGCCTACAAGATGGTCAGATAGACAGACAGACAGCCAGCATGCCAGCTAGCGCATTGAGGATCGCCTTAACTGGATCACTTTGATCAATAGTTTGATATACAAAACTGAAAAGCAATAGCAATAAAAACAGCGCAACCAAAACAAAACTGTTTCGCAATATCTACGCTGTTACATACTTGGCGATGCACATGGGCGTACTGCTTGAAAATGCGCGCCCGTAAACCCGTTTAAGCTTTGCCCCAGGGTGGGTACAAAGTGGGGCATTGCCGTAATATGTGCTTATACGAGTAATCCTGGACGTATGTACATATGTATGTAAGTAAGTGAGGCGGAGCGAACGCACAGTTACGTTGCTGACGTTATTGCGACGACGATCGCAAGCGATCAGCGCTACGACATTGACGACGAACACAACGACAACAGCGGCGTTGTTGCGATGCAGCACATTTGACATGCAATTTCAGAATTCAGTTATTCAAATATGTACAGTGCTGGAAGGAAGTGGAGACGGAGCGCTGCATGTCCATGTGTTTGCCGGCCGTGTTCGCCGCCAAGAGTACAACCCACAGCTTGGACGCCTTGATCTGGCAGTGGCGGTGGGCGCAATATCAATTCAACAAACCGATTAAACAGCATACAAGTCGATCGATTCACCAGCCAGCCAGCCAGCCAGCCAGACGATTGCGGTTTTGTTATTGGCTCGTGCGGAGTGGAGTGAAGTGGAGTATGTGTGTGTGTGCAGTTGTTTGTGCGCATATATATTTATTCAACTATTCAGTGGCAACTGGCATGGCTGCACCGCAAACCACTGACACATGTCCAGCTGAGCTGAGCGTGCTGTTGGACAGCTTTGGCAGCAGCAGCAACAAAGACACCACCACCACCACCAGCAAAAGCCAGGTGAACTGGCCGCCTAGACGCCTGTGGTCCCAGCGACCATGACAACAACGGTAACGGCGACAATTCAAACAGCCAACCAAGCAATCGGCCAGTTAACTGGATTCCGGCGCGTAAGATGCTTGCAACATGTGGCAGCAAGCGTTACTCGTACTTGTATCGATGAAAGATTTGTTTAGGAGTCAGCTTGTGGTCGTCGGCATTCGATTACTATTCGCTGCACTTCTGCATAGATTGCGTCTATTGCGACTATTGTGCATATTGAGAGCAGTTGCTCCTGCTGCTATTTTTTGCTGTTGTTGTTGGTTTTATTATTTCTGTAAAATATGCAGTTTATTTTTTTGTGGACATGTTTAACGTCACTTTTGCGTAGAGAATGTGTGTTGAGTAGCTGCTAATCAGGATTGGTATCATCTATATTTGTGGATGCTGCTCTGTGCACATACTATGTATGCATGTGTGCGCTTGCGTTTTTCTGATGTAGATTAAAAGTCAGCGCGTGCATTTGTTATTTATTGTATGTATGTATTATGCAGAGTTGTAGACAAAAAAAATAAAAGTAGGAAACAATAAATAAATCCTGCTGGTCCATTGGCATTGAACGGTGGTTTGGCCATTCGCTTGTGGCAGCTTGTCGGTACCTGCAAAGCCTTGGAAAATGTTTATTTTAATAAATAGTATGTATGTAGCTATAGTAGAAAGATTCATAGAATAAAAATGCTAATGCTATGCCAGCTAATATTTGGATCAAATGCTTGTAAGGCAGCTGACATATGGGGTTCGCTATGCATTCCATCCTTGATTTTCATCCATCGCTTAATATTGAGGCGCAATTGTCTTGAGATGCCTCCTAGCCTTGTCCGTACTGCTTGGTAATGTGTGCAAAAATGTCTACTTTCGTCCAGTTAGCAGAGTATTTTAGATACATCGGACAGCGAAATTAGGTACAAGTTAAGTTATAACGAAAAGAAGGAAGCTTATCCACATTCTCTAAGCTCAAGTTTGATGACAAAATTATAATATAATGACACCTTTTCATGGGTCAATGAGGACATGTGAACAGGTAGTCCACAGCCAGCACGTATTACTGTCACATAAAGTATTTAGTGGAATTCGAAAGGATTGGTTAATCATGAATCCATTCTGTGTAGGGAGTTGTAGTGTTCACACAAATGACTTGGAGTGCGTCTCATGCTAATCCAGTCGCCTTTAGGACAATCTTGAAAGTCAAATCAGACTCGCTGTTAACCGAAACCTCCAATACAAAGCCTTCGTCATCCACATATTTACAAATTTATATCCACGAATACGGCTCTTCATTCCTTGATCCCAATTATGGAGGGTTGACTTGAAATTATGGATTGTACCCCATTAGCATTTTTCACGCAGTGAGTAGGGAGCGCTTCCAGCAACGTACTCCGAATGAATAGACAAGACCTTAGTGTAATTCATTCATCAGCCGAAGGGCAGTCGACATTGTCACCCCACTGGATTATAACAGTGAATCAAATGTTTTAGCATGTTGTGGAGAATAGATACAAGATTACTGCGTATACGAACGATGTTGCAGTAGGGGTTTGGAATAAGTAAGTTTACCCAGATCTCTAGAAGAGTACTCTATCGCTTCACTCAACTGGTTAATAAACTTCGGCTTGTAGGTAAGCACAGCTATGAACGAGTACAGATTTGTTCACG